CGTAATCCCAAGGGGTTCACATACTTTTTCTTGCAACTGTATAACACCAAAATTTGCATACAAAAAAGCACCGAATTTGAGGGACAAATTATTCAAAAATGGTATTGAACCCCCCACACAAACAGCCACGGTCAGTTTCTTCCAGGGGACCGGTTTTTATGCATGTGGAAGATGTTACAGGTGTAGCAGGGTTAGAAATAATTTGAGGAGAAGATTCACCTTCCAAAATCCCACCACGGGACAGGAATAAAAAATCAAACAATTCATCTCATGTGAATTCAAAGAAGTGGTTTACGCCTTGAAATGTCCTTGTAATTTGATCTATATAGGAAGAACCAAAAGAGCTCTAAAAGATAGAATTAAAGAACATGCTTATAATATTAACAGAGGTTATAGATGCCATCACTAATCACAGCACTTCCGCACTTTTCACAATAGGGATGCCAGCCTCATGCAATTTTGGGGTATCGAAAAACATATTAGTCATTGGAGAGGGGACAATACAATTAGAGAACTTAGTAAAAAAAGAATCCAGGTGGATCGATGAAAGGAATAGTTTAGCACTTGCGGGCTTGAACAAAGATTTTGATCTTTCTTGTTTTATTAGTAATCATTAAGAATCTCAATAATAAATAATGATAGGGGAGAGACCCCATAAGGATTAATTATACCATCACACAGAATAACCATATTTAACAATACTATAGCACTCTGGGTATATTATCACATATTGTTTTATATCTGAATGTATTTGTCATTTATTTATTGCAGATGTTTTCAATAGTCATTAATTTATAGCTGTAGGTTTTTAATTACTATGCCATAGTACTCATTTATTTTAACAGTAGTAGTGGTTACAGGTATCCACTGCTGGGCATACTACTATTTATTGGTTTACATTTGTATGCATTTGTCATTAATTATTTTTGATGTTTTATTAGTTGTTCCACTTATAGTTGTAGGTTTTACCTTTAGTTTTATGGGTTTATATGTTCATTTAGATTAATATTACCTCAGCCCCTAGTATATGTCCGCTTATAGGTGGAATACCCCTTTATGATAAATAGAGATTTTTTAATACGTATATCGGGCTTTTATTAATACAAATTCAGGTTTAAGAATATATATATAACTATTTGGATATTATATTTAGGTATTTATAGAGTTATATAAGTGTTTATGTTTATAAATGTTTCTAGCTTAATTTAATTATTCAGATTATAGTCATTACATTATTTTAAAAACACACACATATTACTGTAAACAGGCACATAGCTTAGTATTAGCATTTAGCCAGTATTAGGTAGCAGAATTTAGCTCTTCAATGCTTGCACACCCAGAGGTTTTAATTTAGCTGCTTGATTAAATGTGGGTGTAACAGGCAAATTGCAGTGAAGGTGAGGGTGTAAAATAAGGTTCCTCGGCGTGAGTGATCACCACACACTTCTGTGTGTTTACACTCAAACCAGGCTCCAAAAACATGGTCACCGCCATGCGGACTACAACAAAATGGCGCCATCTATATAAATCAATGGGCGTCGTGTTGTCCAATCAATTCCCCCCTGATGAAGCCACGTGACCCGGTGGCGTAACGCGTAGGGGAGGGGGCTCTGACATCACGACTTAGTAGCTCACAAGACCCTACACTTCAGTACCCATATGATTTTTTTTGTGTTGGGAGATTCTCCCTTTTTTTGTAATTTCACTATGGAATTTATTTACAATGACAATAAATCTTATCTATCTTATTTTTCTATCTATCTAAATGTATCTAAATCTTATCACATTTCAGTTTTTTTCTCAATACAGAGATTCAAATATGTGTATGTTTTGTTAGTTTTTGGTACATATTGGTAAATGGCTGATAACCAGAAGTGTACATTAGGGGTCTGTTTATAAAAGTTTTTATCAAAGATTTACACATTTTTTTAATTGGATTCAATTGGATTCTGGGTGGATCCAGAGTGAAAGTTGTATGAATTTTGTGTAAAAACATTAAAGTGGTGTTAAACCCAAAAGTAAACATTTATTATATTGCAGTTTGCCATTTCTTAAATGTGATGACTGCATTCTTTTTTTATTCATTCTATTTTTGTCTGGTGATGCAGTAAACAAGTATGTTATTTTTCAAAAGCTCACGCTCTACAGTAGAATGTATCAGCTTACATGGATGAAACAAACCATTTAACACTGGCAGGGGTGGCTAAAATAATCAGCTTTTATTTATTCATGTAAGACCATTATCCCAAAAGCAAGAAACAAATGTTTGCTGTAACTAATTATAGTGTGAGCTGAAGTTTGGCTTCAGTTAGTTACTGTTTTTAATACATTTAACACTCCCCTCCCCCCAGACTGACAATGCTCTTGTTTGCTGTGCCTTCATTCATCCAGAGTTGTGTCTCACTAATACAGGAGGTGTGTTACTGGCCAGACCACCAGGTGACAACAGAGGGAAAAGCCAAAGTAAAAGTAACCTACAGTATGCAGCCACCACTTCTAATGACCGGTAAGCAGCAATATATTGCATATTTGGTTTGGGGTTTAATACTGATTTAAATAGACCCTTAGGTGTTATGTATTTTCTCACACCATATTTTGAGTTCAATGCCCCTAATTTACTGGCATTAACTACTTGCCAACCACAGATAGCCAAATGACAGCTGCACTGCGGCCGGCCAGTTCTGGGAGGGTGTCATATGACGTCCTCCCAGAACGCGCTCTCATGCACGCGCCCGGGGGCGCTCACCCAGCGATCTCCGCAATTGCTGTGTCCTACGGACACAGCTGATCACGTGATGTGGTAAAAGGCCAATCACAGCGGCCTTTAACCACGTGATCAGCCTTGTCCAATGACACGCTGATCACCGGGAAATGCAATTGCCGGTTCTCGGCTGCACTTTCCACACGCTGTCAGAGCGTGATGAAAGTACTGCCGAGAACCGGCAGTTGTCAGAGCAGGGATCAGCACCGATCATCTGTGCCGTGATGATCGGTGCCCAGCAGTGCCACCCACCAGTTCCACCCACCTGTGCCCAGAAGTACACGCACCTGTGCCCAGCAGTGCCCACCAGTGCCACCCAGCAGTGCCACACACCTGTGCCAAGCAGTGCCACACACCTGTGCCCAGAAGTGCCACCTACCTGTGCTCAGCAGTGCCACCCACCTGTGCCCACCCACCTGTGCCCACCGGTGCCACCCACCAGTGCCCATCAGTGCAGCCCAGCAGTGCTGCCAGTCAGTGCCACCAGTCAGTGCCCAGCAGTTGTGCCAGTCAGTGCCCAGCAGTTGCGCCAGTCAATGCCTAGCAGTGCCGCCAGTCAGTGCCCAGCAGTGATGCCAGTCAGTGCCACCTATCAGTGCTGTCTATCAGTACCCATCATCAGTGCCGCCTATCAGTTCCGCCTATCAGTGCCGCCTATCAGTGCCGCCTCATTAGTGCTGCCTATCAGTGCCGCCTATCCGTGCCACCTCATTAGTGCTGCCTATCAGTGCCGCCTATCCGTGCCACCTCATTAGTGCTGCCTATCAGTGCTGCCTATCCGTGCCACCTCATTAGTGCTGCTTATCAGTGCCGCCTATCAGTGCCCTTTAGTGCTGCCTATCAGTGCCCATCAGTGCTGCCTATCAGTGCCTATCAGTGCCCATCAGTGCTGCCTCATCAATGCACTTCAGTGAAGGAGAAAAATTACCTGTTTGAAAAATTTTATAATAGAAACAAAGAAACTTTTTTTTTTCAAATTTTTTGCAATTTTTTTGTTTATAGCGCAAAAAAGTAAAGTGTCCAGCAGCAATTAAATACCACCAAAAGAAAGCTCTATTTGTGAGAAAAAAATGATAAAAATTTCATATGGGTACACTTTTGCATGACTGGGCAATTGTCAATCAAAGTGCGACAGCACTGAAAGCTGAAAATTGGTCTGGTAAAGAAGGGGGTATAAGTGCCCGGTAGGCAAGTGGTTAAAGCATCTTTATACTATTAATGTATCTATAAAAGTAGACATACTAGAGTATTCAGTACATAATATACCAGAAAACTGAAGCATCTCTCTTTTTGTTCAAAAATGTTTTTTCAAAGGGCAGTCCAAATTTAAAAACCTAACTTTAGGCAAAATAAAAATAATTATCTGTTGTTTTTTCTCAGTAATAAATTAGCACACAATGATACTTTCATTGCTCCAGCATCGTGTGCCTTACTGCAATCTTCAACAGGACCAGACCAGCTGAAGCCACTCTGCATGCTAGTCTCCATATGTTGCCACATGAATTGAAATACATTGAAATACATTGCATTGGATGTCCTTAATTGTAATACACAACCACATGTATTGACATGCTTCATCATACGCATTGGTGCTCATTGAGATGCTTTTTTATGTTTTCATTGGTTTCAAGGGAAAACATATTAAGCAAAAATACAAAGATGTGAGACCAGAAGTGAAACCTACAAGTTAACTCTACAAAGTACAGTACATGGCGTTCATAATAAATTTTTTACAAAACAGACACATCTGTTACATGATCTTCCCATAGAGAGATTTAAATCTTAAATGTTCTTCTAAACATTGAATGGCATGATCATCTACCTTTGGGTCAAATTTATTGGCGAAGAAATGATGCTGCTGGAGCATCCAGTGCAGATCCCCAGTCCCATACACACACACATTTCTTCTGTGCTTCCCAGTACATGCAGAATAAGGGGCTCCTTGCTTAATGTCCCCTTCCAGGCTTCCCCATTTTACCAACCTTGCTAGTGCATTCAAGTCTGAAGTGTCATATTTACTGTGCTGAGGAAGAGATCCAGGCATCCAAGAAACTCTGTGAAGTGTAGCCCAGAGGAACTCATCAGGACTGTAAGTGTCCTTTGCCCAGTCCATAAATTCTCTTGCGAAGTCTGATTTAAACAACATTTTCACAAATTCTCTGGTGACCACTACGTATGCATTGCCACTGAATATAGGCACATTTAAAGGTGGTGGAGTTTTCCTAACATTCGTCTTCACAATGCGATCTGTAACTTCAAAGCGGTATTCCCATCTCAATTTTTTAGCTCCAGGTGATGGTTCTGACTCCATGCTGTTTTTCCCATTCAGTGATTTTAAGGATGTGACTATTTCAGCATTAGTTTTTATTGGGAAATCTGTTCCGCAGGTATTGATAAGGTATTTCCACTCTACAGTACTATTCAGTAGGTCTTCCATGCAGTTCAGATCAGCCTGGACACGAGACCACGAAGCATATACTACTGGCTCCAACTTAGATGCGACAAACACATTGTCAAAGCAGGAAGCTATAGCTTGCACAGCCTGATGAAAAGTGTGTGGAGATTTTCGATCTATATGCACACAGTAAATATTCTGAGGAGTATAAATTGATCTTAATAGTCTCTCAAACATTTCAATGTCACCATGGATCACCATGGAATAGGCAATGGGGTAATGTCTTTCTTCATTGCTCAGACTAAACAGAACATACTTTTTTTTTAAATGTTGGACAGTCTTTGGTTAGTTTTATGTAATCTGTATCATTGCTAATAACTTTTCTTTTTCTAATATCCAAGTTGTTGGTTAAAGTCTGTCTTACCTCATCCCAGTCACCTTCAATAATTTTAGTACAGTTCTTTCTATCACTGGCCAACAAGTTCAAAGCCATGTAGTATTGTCCCCGGCAGTGAGCAATATTCAGATCCCCAGTTTGGATGGCATTATCCAGGTCACAGTCCAAGAAGGAATATTTTAAGACTATAGTGATGACAAATAAAATGCACCCAAAGACAGACATTGGTGTGAATTCAGTTTCCTTAGTTTCTTCATAAAAGAGTTTTGCATTGTTGTTAATGTTATTATTTCCTCTATATATTCTGTGTAACTGAATCACACCATTCGATAAAAAGACTGAGGCAGCTTGTTCAGAGGCTTTTGAAATATGTGTATCATTAAGATAAACTGTCCAACACATAGGCAGTAGGAAGTAAAGCTGTACAGCCTGCTTTTCAGGTTTCCAGCATTTATCTTATTTCCCCACTTTCGAAATCAGTAGCTGCTTTACATAGGACCATAAAAGATTGAAGTGACAGGGGAAAAAAACAACGGGTCTGTTGAGTTTGTCCTTTATTTCCAGTATTTATTTAATTACTTATTTTAATCTTTTGTGTCTAAAGTATGTTTTATACAATCCTCTAACAGCCTATATTTTATTGAACTGATCTGGTTTCTTCAATAAGGATGCAGTGGGACAGGGTATGAAGAATGGACACACTTAAACTGCTTTTCTATTTTTTTTTATTTTATATTTTTTCACAGAGAAAAAAACAGCAAAAAAAAAAGAAAAATTATAAAATTAAAGTGACAGTTCAAAAAGAACAATCAAATTCTAAAATAAAAAAAAAACAAGCACAAAACAAATAACACAAATTATATAAACTAAGCTACCGTAAATACAGTATTTGGACCAGTTTATTATATGGAAACACGAGTACCACTTTTTCTTAAAGGCTCTAAAGAAAAAGTGTGCAAAATCCATAATCATTTCACTATATTTCCATTTTATATCAAGCAATATTTTTACACATGATAAACAACATGCAATACCTAGAAAAATATATATTTTACACAAATGTTTAAAGTTATACTGTCTCCCCAATGTGCATTTTTCACGATATTTCTAAATTCACATTCAAAATTATACATTTATTTGTATTATCCGCTACTCATGTAATACGTAGAACTTGTTTTAAATCATGTATGCTGGCAAATACATAACAACATTTGATTCCAAAAAATATCACTTTTTTTATAAACTAATTTTATACACATTTCAGCAGATTAAGGCGTCCAAACTATTTTTAGAGTTATTGCCCTTGTGATATCTGTCAGGTATCCAATGAATTTATCTGAAACTTTCTCATATGGATATATAATAGATCCAGAAATCACACAACAGTGGAGCTATACTTCTAGAGTCACATATAGATTTATATACATTATCCTCCACTTCTAAGTAGGAGGATTTTAATTTATATCTTGAATGCTGGCAAATAAATTATAAAAATGGAATCCATGGTTTATATGATGTATACTGGTAAATATAACACAAAACTGAGCTCCATGTTTTATATCTGCTATCCTGGGAAATATATCACAAATAAATATTTAGCTTTCAAACATGCTGTTTATTGCAACAGTTCAGTCTGGCCCCCTGTTCAGCGGAATCCGAAAATCATATATAAAAGCAATATTTCTAAGGCTTTATTTTTTGACAGCTTCCAACTGGTGCTTCCAACTTCCAACTTGGTGCTTGCGCTCATGACATCCCTAGAAACCACTGATGTCACTGTGAGTTCCTGCTACTTAAGCAAAGAGGCGGGAACAGCAGTGACATCACTGCCCAAATATGCCCACTGGCCATGTTTCAACAAAGACATTGACCAAATGTGGCCCTTCCTGCCCCTTCCCTTATATAGCTGATGACAGCTTGGGTAGCTGTAATTGGGCTATGAGCACCATCAGAATTGATTATGTGTGCTAGGTCATCAGATTTTTTTTTTTCAGAGGGTGGCAGGCATTGTGATTGACAATGAATTTTCAATTGGGGGCATTTTTTGGGATTTCTATTTTTGCTAATAAAGTATGATAAACACCCCCAACCCTGCTTGCAGATCCCCACAACCACCAGCCAGTGTTGTGAAGTAGGGGCCCCCTTCCTCACCAACATGGGGACAAGAAGCTTTGTCAGAGTCAGTCCCCCCTGGCAAGGCACCTCCACATGTGGCTGGATATGATTCAAGGGGGGGGGGGTGCAGGGGGCAAGTGTGTAGCCAGTCATAGTGCATGCTCAGATTTAAGGTCTGGGATGTATTTTTAAGGGGTACCTCACACATTTTTATTTTTTGTTTATTTTTGCTTGGAGTGCCACATAAAATCTGTACCAAATTGGATGGATTTCCAGGGAACCTCACTCATTATTTGTGTGTGTGTTGTACCCCCTATAATTCCATACCAGACTTATACGCAACATTTTTTTTTTTTCATTTTTGATGTAGGATAGGCTACCAGCATAGTGAAATCTACAAAAAAAACACACACAAACAAAAAAGGTACAGTTTAAATTGCGGGCAAATGACATTAAAAAAAGACAGCACACAGAGCCCTCCAGAGGTTCTCCAAAATATATAGCTGATCCTTGGAGGGGTCTGTGTACTTTTTCTTTAAAAAACAAAGAAGCTGACATTGACGTGTCATTTGACAACATTTTTTCCTTTTAAATGTTAGTGCTGCTGCAACACTTTGCGGGTTATTTACTAAAACTGGAGCATGCAAAATCTGGTGCAGCTCTACAGATAAACCAATGAGCTTCCAGGTTTTAAAGTTTAAATTAGAAGATGATTGGCTACCATGCTAGCTGCACCAGATTCTCAGTGCTTCAGTTTTAGTAAATCTACGCCTTTCTGTACATCACAGAGATGGGTCCCTTGATAGTCAGGATTAAGGTAACCCCAGGCATGTTATTTAAAGGAAATTGACATTTTTAATGTTTTACTTTAAGCATCACTAGTCTTAGCCAAATGGAATTTTAATTTTTTTTTGCATTGATACATGTTCCCCAAAAGGCAGTACCTAACTCCCCATGCTATTTTAGAAATCCCTTTATCCAATTAACCCTGAAAAATTGGCATTTTCAATTTGTCAGATTTGGCTCCCATTGATTTCATTAGGGTTCAGGTTCAGCCTCTGAACTTCTTTGAAGTTCACCTAACCCTGCTCGAACCAAACCCAGAGCTGCTTGGCTCATCCCTAATTGCAACACTGTATATGGCAATGTGTCATGCTCATACCTGACATCCAGTCTCACTCAGGCATCATTTTAAAAATTTTACATAGTCTGGCTGAAAAAAGACAAAAGTCCATCCAGTTCAACCATTAAAAAAAAAAAAAGTTATAATACTATGCCCTCAGTTGATCCAGAGATAAACAAAAAAAACCCAGCAAAGCATGATCCAATTTGCTCCTGTAGGGAAAAAAAATTTCTTTCTGATCCCCTGAGAGGCAATCGGATATTCCGTTGATCAACTTTACCTATAAATGTTAGTATCCAGTTATATCTTTGTATCTAAGAAACAATCCAATTTCTGCGGATTTATCTTTTTAGTTCCGCATAGCATAGTTCCTGATAAATTTGTACAGACATGCCAAACAGTGATGTATTGCTGTGTACGGTACAACCTTTGCTACCAATTGTTTGTTTGAGCATGATTGTTACTCCTGCTTTATATGCATCCTGTATATTCCACATACACTTAATCTCCTAGATTGTAAGCTCGAAAGAGCAGGGCCCTCAATCCCCTCATGTTTTGCATTGTATTGGTATTGTTCTGTCACATGTTCTGTCCCCCTCTGTAATGTACAGCGCTGAGCGAACTATTGGCGCTTTATAAATACTGTATAATAATAATAATAATACACTTAATATACTCCCTGAAAAACACACCCTCCAAATAAAAAAAAAAAATTGTGTAGGTTGTTTTCTTTTCAAACAACTTTTAGCTAAACAACTAATGACTAAAAATTTAAGTTTTCTGCCAACTGTGAAACTGGTAATTTTTGATTAAATTAATATTGCAGCAAAACCAGCTTCACCTAAATCAATTCACCCATCCCAAATAAAAGGTGATTGCAGGACACAGGCATACACAAGGTCTGACTGGCCCACCAGTGGATAATATTCCTGTGTGCTCTGTCTCTCGTGAGTTCTGGACCATGTCTAATAGGCATTCAGATCCAAACCTATTAAAACCTTCCTAGAATCCTTATCTGGGCTGCACCACCTAATCAGTATATCAAAAGGAGTAATCCCCTAAGCCCTGTCTACCTCCTACATTAGGACAAATGTTCCAATGAGTATGTGCAATCTGGAAGCAGAAGAGTGACTGGTTCTGTCTACCAGTGGTAGCCCAGGAGGCGTTTCCTGCTCATCATGCTGGAAAAAAGAGGTGTTAGGGTTCAGGAGGGGAGGGTGAAAGGTATACAGGAAAGAAATCAAAATTTCCAAAAGAAAATATGAGTGTCTAGTGGCTGGCAGATTCAGGGAAATCCATCTACTCAACAATCTAGTTAACAATAGAAGAAATGTGTAGGGTGTTCTGGGATGGAGGACCTTCTAAATTCAGGATAATATATGTCAATTAAACTGGAACATCCGTACAGCAATTTGAACAAGCCGGTATCCATCATGCACTCTCAGCAGCACTCCATATGACGGAAGCAGACTCTGATCAAGATACAGGAAAAGAGAAGGCACTTCTAAGTGCAATATGCATTTATATTTATTAGACACAAGGAATAAAAGCACTTACTAGAAAGCAATAAAAATCATCTTGTCAGTCCCAGTGATGACTGCCACTTATTCCTCCTGTGAGGGTTAA